GGACACTGCCTTGAAGGGGTTTGTGGTGGTTAGTTTTATGCCAGCTTGACAAACTATAGTCATTTCTCAGTTAAGAAAATGCCGCATAAGATCTGGCTGTGGGCAAGCATGTAGGGTATTTTCTTAACTAATGATTGCTGAGGGAGAGCCCAGACCATTGTGGGTGGTGCTTTTCCTGGATTGGTGGTCCAGGGTTCTACAAGAAAGCAGGCTGTGGAAGCTATGAGGAGCAAGCCAGTAAGCAGCATCCTCCATGGCCTCTGCAGCGCCTCTTGCCTCCAGGTTCCTACCCTGTTTGAATTCCTGCCCTCACTGCTTTTGATATGGAACTGTGAGTGAAATAAACCATTTCCTTCCCAAGTTGATTTGGTCGTGGTTTTCATCACAGCAATAGTAACCCTGACTAGAACAGGGGTATTGGGATTCTGGTCCCTGCTCTTTCTCTGTCTTCTGTCTGGGTGAGAGCAGTTCCTCCCATATGCTTTTACTATTACGTGCTTTTCTTTTTTTGCCGCAGGTCCTGAAATTAACAGACTGACAGGCCCTGGATTGAAACCTGTATAGTTGTGAGCCAAAGTCAGCCTTTCCTCCTATTGCATTGAATGAGCCCAGTCATTTGTCACAGGGAAGCAAAGAGAGCCAACAAGTGGTTGTTGAGGAAACGCTAGACATCATGGGTCTTCACTGCTCAAATCACTGCTAGATGCTCGAGAATGCCCGTTTGCTCAGTAACAGACAGCACACAGGGGGCAGACCTGTATGACTCTGGTGGAGATGAAAATGGTCTATCATCTAGTGATACGGCTTTTGTCATGTAGTCCAGCGCGTCGCTTCCGTGTTTGTGGTAAGGAGGCTGTAAAAATCCTACTGCTGTCTGGTTGTGTGAAAGCACAGTACTCACAGATGTGGACTGCAGAACCCATTTCCTTTTCCTTTCCAAGACACACAAAGACCAGGCCATCCTAAAACTCACTATGTGGCTGGCTGATGACAGGTCTTATGCTGCCACCTACTTCCCAAGCACTGGGATTGACAAATACTTCTCTCTCTCTCTCTCTCTCTCTCTCTCTCTCTCTCTCTCTCTCTCTCTCTCTCTCTCTCTCTCTCTCTCTCGTGTGTGTGTGTGTGTGTGTGTGTGTGTGTGTGTGTGTGTGTGTATGTGCTTAGAAGTCAATGTTAGGTGTCTTCTTCAATCACTTCTCTACCCTCTTATTTTGAGACCGGGTCCCTAGACTGGCCGACCAAGAAGCCCAGAGAGCCTCTGGTCTCTACCTCCCCAGAACTTGGATTTGGGAGCATCCCACCACATCTAACTTTTTATCTAGGTCCTCATATTTGTGCAGCATTTACCGACTGAGCCATCTTCTTAGCCCAGGAAACAACTATCTTAGTGTCAGTTCTCACATTTGCAATACTTATTGTATTTTTATTATTTTTAACATACTCTTTCTACTTAAAAAATTAGCATAGGACAGCATGGACTGTAGACTCTGGTAGCAGGCACATATGCCTTGTAGTGGCCACATCTCTTGCCTGCATCAGTAGTCTATGTGGCGGGTCTGGCCTGTGTCAGTCTAGGCTTATGTGAGCACGCACTGGGGCGGCAACACAATTATGAAGTTACAACGCTTTCTCAGAACACGTCACTGCCATGGGAGGCCTAATGGGTGTGAGGAGAATAAATGAAATGTTATATAGAAAGACTTGGTGTTTCCTTAGATAGAATCAATTCGACTTTTTCAATCATAGGTAACAGAAAACTGACAGTGGCTTAAGCTCACAGTGCATCAGTCTTTTAACAGCTTGGAAGCTAATAATTCCAGGGAAGTTTCCAGAAATTAGTGGTGCTATCAATTGTAGCATGAATAATTAAAAAACCCATGATAGATATTGGGGTTCAAGCTGATGGTCAGATAAGCAAAGCAGTCAGTCACTATTTCTTATTTACCTTGGGCTGAAAGGGCTGTCCTCTCCTCAGTGTGGCTGGAGAATAAATCTCCCCATGAGGCCCGTTACATTTTCTTTTCATACCTCCCTAGTGAGGGGATTAAAGGCTTGGGATCTCAAGTACTGAGATGACACTTGTATGGGCTGTTTCTCTTTAGGACTGGATCGATTTCATATAGCTCAGTGTGGCCTTGAACTAATAAGAGATCCACCTGCTTGTCTTGAGTCCTGGGATTAAAGGTGTGTGCCACCACTGCCTGGCTCTATGGCTAGCTAGTATGGCTGCTGGGATTAAAGGTGTATATCATCATTGCCTGGCTTTGTGACTTTGTGGCTAGCTTTGCTTTCTGTACCCTCGGGCAAGCTTTAATAAGCCATAAATAATATATCACCACAATCAAAGACCAAGGGGTTTTCTAACCTCCTACTCCCCACTTCCTACCTCTAGCCCCTGACTCAACATATTGGTGTTCTCAGCCTTGTCACCTCAAGGTTGCAAATGGCTGTCCCAACCTCACACACTTCATCATCCGCCCATCGTTTCCAAACTCAGAAGGAAGAGAGGAAGGTCAGAAATGGTGACAAGGTGGCTATTTTTCTAGTGTACCTAAAAAAATATTTTCATCTTTCAAGCGATTATCCTTCTTAGGACACCAAAATCCCCTAAAACTTATTAGGGTAAAAAAAAAAAAGGTCATCAGCCTATGTCTAGTTCAGTGACCAGTAAAGAGGACCTTCTAGAACTGACTAAAAGTCATTGGGAATAATCAAATGTGGGAGGAAGAAGAGGAGGAGGAAAAAGAAGGAAGGAGAAGAAGAAGAGGAAGAAGGAGAAGGAGAAGGAGAAGGAGAAAGCAATATGGCGTCAGGTAGTCAGCGGTGACAGCGTTGTCATGGAATGGGTGTCTGCTGAGATGGTGTATGAGCTGAAATCACGCAGTAAGGTGGAGACAGCCTTGCGTGCTTTGGGATGCAAAGGGAGAAGCCAGCCAGGGACGTTGGTCATGGGAAGCCTGACAGAGGAGGAGACACTCAGGACACAGGTGAGTCAGCCAGGTGTGCAGCTGTGGGCGGGGATGGGTGGAGGCTACAACGAATGCCAACAGAAAGGCAAGGGGTGGGAACCAGTTTGTGAGACTGGAGCCGGAGGAACAGGATGGGACAGGTGGCTACCTTGGTAGAGGTGGTTTGTGGGGGACGGGGGAGCAGAGATCGGATTTCAGCATTGTAAAATCAGTGACTAGGGGACCTATGCAGAAGTAGGGTGCTGGATTCCATCTGCCTGGACTTTGGACGAAGCATCCTCTAGGAAGTGTTGGGTTGAACCCTGCTCGAGCATTGGAGTCAGTCACAGAAGAGGGGATGAAGGATAGCATCAGCACAGGACAGTGAGGACCAAAACTGGAGGTTCAACGCAAGATAACAAGCCTTCAGCAAGGCACTGCCGGGAGTATCACATGGGAGTCAGAGTATGCCTTCTGCTGCAGCTGGAGCTCTGCTTTGTTTAGTGAAGGCCAGTCTCCACCTTCATAAAAGTTGGGAGTCCCAGGCCCGCCAGTGAGAGTTGAGTTGATTTTCTCCTTTGTTCCAAGAACACTCCCATTGTTTTACATTCTTGGTCTTTAGTAGACGCTGAAAAGTTTGACGAACAAATGAGCTGTCAATGAAAGCTATGCTCCTCGTATGAAGTGAACGAATTCCTCTAGGTCTGGACTGGCCCTGGATGGTTCATGGGGCAGCAGCAGACCAAGCCAGCTTCCAGGCTCCCCTCGCTGCTTTGCAATTGCAATAACTGTCAGGTCTTAGAGAAACACTCAGATGTGCTCATGTGTTTTCTTCCCCTAAGACTGTAAACTCTGGGAGCAAAGAAGGCATCTTTATGTTACTGTCTGAGAATATTTCATACATGCATGTACTGCTTTTGATCAAATTTCCCTGGTACTCCTTCTCCTCTGGTTCCTCCCCTATCTCTGGCCTCAATTTTTCTCTTCCCACTTCACCTGCTGCTGTTAAAAGCCACTGTTAAAACCATCTACTGGAGCATCCATCAGCCACCATCAGTTTCCATTAGCACCTCCCTTAGGGGTGGAGCTTCATAAGCCCTTCCAAAGGGGCATCTTTAAGGGAGTCTGCAAATCCACATATTTCTGATGTGTCAGAAATCGTTCATATTGAGAAGGAAACTGATTGATGAAGATATGTCTGTGAACTTCTTTGGTTGTAATAAGTATGACACTAGCAAGAGCTGAGATGGAGATAAATGAGAGATCTTGTGCTTTTAAATTAAAGCTCTTAAGTTAACCTTTTTATATTCTCAGGTCAATTCCAATGGGAACCTAACATTCTAAAAATAAAATATGCTAGAAAATAGAATTTTCCCATTTGAGGTACTTAACAAGATTTCCATTTGGGAGTGTTTACTCCAAAGAGGATTTTGAAATCTAGAGCTTGTAAAAATGCAAAGCAAGTCAGTACCTACTAACTCCCCCGTCCTGCTCTGATCACCTCCTAGAATATCTAAAATAGTCCAGGCCACAGAGGGGAGATGGGAGTTCTGGCAGTGTGTGTGTGTGTGTGTGTGTGTGTGTGTGTGTGTGTGTTAGAACTAAAGTGAATATGCTGGTCAGTTTTTGTCAATGTGACATACACTTGGGTCAACTGAGAAAATGCCTTCATGATATTGGTCTGTAGGCAGCAAGTCTGTGGGGATATTTTCTTAATTACTGACTGATGATGAGGGCCTAGCCCACTGTGGATGGTACGGCCCCTGGGCAGGTGGTCCTAGGCTGTGCCAGAAAGCAGACTGATCAAGCCACAGAGAGCAAGCCAGTGAGTAGCATTCCTCCCTGCCCTCTGCTTCAATTGCTGCCTCCAGCTTCCTGGCCTGACCTCTCTTCCTGATGGATGATTGACTATATATAAGCTGTAAGGTGAAATAAGCCCCTTCCCCTCCAAATCGCTTTTGCTCTTGGCGTTTATCACGACAATGGAAAGCAGGCCAGGCCAGCATGCCTCTCACTACACTGCAAGAACTTTTCTGGGAGTGTTTAAAAAGGAAAGGACATAGTCTACATAACCGTGAATGTAGTTTTCCACACATGACTGAAAATCAAAAAGGCCCTGAATACTTAAACAAAAACCAAAGCCCCACCGCTGCCTGCAAATGAACAAAAAAACCCACGCCCTCAATCCCCCTGCCTCCTCAAATCTTGGAAAGGATTTTTTTTAGTTGCTTTAAGTTTCAGAAAGGTACGATCCTGTTGCTTTTAAAGAGTCCATGTGTTTACATCAGTCATTGTAGGCTAGGTTTTGCTGTAGTAAAAACTAGCTCCCAGATACCGGTGACTAAGAAAAACAACAACCTTTTTTTTTTTCCCCCTTTGCCTGCTGCCAGTCACAAGGGCCTCCTTATCAGTAACATGTAGCCCAGGCTGGTGGAGGGGCTGGAATTCTGAATTGCTGGCCACCATGGTGGCACATCTGTGTCTCCACAACCACAAGGGACAGAGAACTGCACTACCACTTGTCCCGGTTCTCAGACTCAGGTAGACTTGCCAGGTGAGACAGCATGACCAAGGACCATGAATCCCGTGCCATTGCCACAGTCCTGGGCCTCTTGTAAAAGGCAGAGCCTTTACCCTTGGAGAGAGAGAGAGAGTGTGTGTCCCTTGGCGCTTGACTCATGCACTCTCCAGCTCTGTGCCCCTCCCTCTGCAGATGCTGCTCCCAGACAGGACCTGTCTGTCAGGCTGGGGCTCCTCAGCACATGGGGCAGCTGTCTGTGGGAAGGCAGAGCCCAGCACAGCTGTCTCAGTCTCTGGAGTTGCCATTTGGAGCTGAAGTGACTACTCAAGAGGTACAGGAGCCCAGCTGCTGATCTGAAGGGAGAGATGACCAAGGAAAGTCACTGATGCCCCTCTCTCAAGCTACCAGGGAAGAGGGCAGATGTCTCCGAGAATCTTGTTGTCCAGCTATGGTGAGTACTCCTGCGTCCTCTTCCGATGATGTGTGCTGAGGAATTTCAGACATAAGCAGCTAATTATGTCAGCATAGCTGGGAGGCTTTGGCTATTTGCGCCTCAATAACACATGCAGGGAATAAGGACCAAGAAGAATTTGGTGACTTGGAAGCTCTATTCAGTAAAAGCTCCAGTCATGGCTGAAGATATTTTTACTTGCATCTTTGGTTCTGTGCTCTCCTGATCCTGTCTACATTTTGAAATACGGGAAACTAGAGCATCCGAAAAACTGATTCCATCTGACTCCCCATCTGGTAATCTCATGTGTTTAAACACAGGTGGTCATGAAACCTTTGTCATTTTCTCCCGTCAGATGCTGTGCTGTTTAACACTTAATTTTATTATGGAAGTTTCGCCAACTTCAAAGTCTCCTTGATACGAGAGGAAAATTTTTATACCTTCTCAAAAAGCCCTGGAGTACCATCAGTTAGTGGAGGTATGGTCATCTCCTGGTCCTACACCTCCACCGAGCCTGCCTGACCTTGAGGGGGGTTTCTTTTGGCTTAGAAAGGTATCTTCAAGTGTCACTTGTGTTCTTTGGTCATGTGGGGCCCAGGGATGGAGCTCAGGTTGTCCTGTCAGCAAGTGCCTTTGTTCACTGAGCAATCCTGCCAGCCCTCTGTGTTTTCTTGCTCTTTCTTAAAACCATATTGTGGTTGACCCTTCTCTTATGCTGTCTGTTCCCAGGTGGAGTCTTTGCAGTTGAGTGCATCTTAAAAGCTTAATTCTTATTCAAAATGTTTACTCTTTGAATTTTGACAAAATGTTTGTTCCCCCATTGGAAAAAGCTTATTGACCCGAAAGGGAAGCTCACATTTATCTCTCATTATTTTGGGCTTGTTTCATTTACTCTTTCAGAGATGATCGGTATTTGTATTTTTATTTTGGAAGCTCTTTTGACTTCTTAGTAGCTCAGATGAGTGATCTTCAGTACATTGAGAGTTAGCTTAGTCTTATTGCAAGCCTTGCAATTTTTTTGTGTGTGTACATGAGCATCTGTGTACATGTGTGTGTGTGTCTGGGGGAGAGAGAGAGAGAGAGAGAGAGAGAGAGAGAGAGAGAGAGAGAGAGAGAGAGAGAGAGAGAGAAAGAGAGAGAGACAGAGAGAGAGACAGAGAGAGACAGAGAGAGAGATATCGATCAAGTGCTGAAGTAGGTACATATCTGTATGTGGGTCGCATATGCACATATGTATACATTCATGTGGAGACCAGAGTTTGACACTGGGTGTCTTTTATTGCTCTTCACCTTGTATTTTGAGACAGGGTCTGTCCATACTGGAGCCCCTAGGATCTCTCTGTTTCTGCCCCTTAGCATGGAGGCTACAGGTGCTCACTCCAGTTCGTTGCCTTTTTACGTAGATGCTGGGGAGACAAACAGGCCCTTATGCTTGAGCAGCAAGCACATTACTGACTGGGCTAGTTCCCAGCCCCCAAGTGCTTTGTTTTGAGTCTCTATAGATTATATTCCACCCACATCCCTTTCCAGCCATACCTGTAGAGTATGGAGTTACTCCAACACTGTGTGTTTGCTGGATGAATGAAATTTTGTAAACAGAAACCAGGATTTGTTTTTCTAGACTTGGATATGGGGGAGAGCTAGGGAATAAGTTTGGAAGCAGTTTTCCCTGGGTCTAAGGGGTAACGGGGGTAGTGTGCCTATGGAGAACAATAGTACAAGTGTGTTTCAAAAATGGTCAGTTTTTCTTTCTTTTTCTTTTTCTTTTTCTTTTCTTTTCTTTTTTTTTTTTTTTTTTTTTTGGTTTTTCAAGACAGGGTTTCTCTGTATTGTTTTGGAGGCTGTCCTGGAACTAGCTCTGTAGACCAGGCTGGCCTCAAACTCACAGAGATCCACCTGCCTCTGCCTCCCGAGTGCTGGGATTAACCCTCAGTGAATTCTGGAAATTGTGGACCATTAAGTGATGATGTGCTTCTTCCTAGTGGGGCAGGTCACTCCCACTGCTGTCACTGTCCCTCAGTACTGTCTGTGAGTGAGAAGTGATTGAACTCGACAGCAGAAAATAGCCTTCGCCCCTCTTAGGTACTTCGGAAAACCTACAATTTAGCGGGTAGTCTTGGGAATATATAGCTTTGGGAATCTATAGAAATTGTTATTTCTAATTATTTCTCTTAATAGAATAGCCAGTAAATAGCCATAATTCGATAGGAAAACCGCTGGTTTTAGTTTATTTTTTATGTTTATTTTTTTAATCTATATCTATGCGTATTTTTGCCTGCACTTGTGTCTGTGCACTAATATCTGTGCCTGGTACCCGTAGTGGCTAGAAGAGTGTGTTGGATCCCTTAGAACGGAAATTACAGCTAGTTGTTAACTGCCACGTGGGTGCTGGGATTTGAACCCAAGTTCTATAGAGGAAGAGCCAGTGTTCGTAACTATTGAACACCCTCTCCTGTCCTGGTTTCATTTTTATAAAAGTTGTAGACTCTTATTGCCTTTGCATACTGTTTCTAAAGCTTTTAAATGCAGCAAGCAGACTCCTAAGCCACGCTAGCTTGAGTGTCTCAAAGGAACTGCCTCCCAATACTGGGGTATCCAGGGCATGAAAGACAGTGATCCAACTCTCAGTTTTCACTTTGGTTTTCCTATGGCATCGTCTTGATTTGTTCTTCACCTCCTTCAGTGGATGGATTGTTCTCAATGACTTATTAATACCAATCCTGGGGTTTCCCCTCATTCTCAATGCTCATATCAGGTGGGAAGTGCTAAACGCTGGCCTTTTCACGAATGATGAGCGCAGTCAAGGTGTGGCATAGAGGTGTCCTCACATTTCCATGCCTGTTTGTCAGCAGTAATGAAATCATGCAGAATGAAGATGTTCTAGCTTACTTTCTGTTGCTGTGATAAAACAACCAAAACCACCTGGGGGGGGGGATGGGTTTGTTGGTTTACAGGATATGTACCATCCGTTCCCGAGGCAAGTCTAAGCAAGTTTGAAAGCAGACCCAGCAGCAGACAGCAGGAAGGAAGGAATGCTCGTTACTGTCTTGCTCCCCCTGGCTTGCTCAGCTGCTTTTCTCATTCAGCCCAGGCCTTCCTGCCCCGGGGTGGATGGCACTGCCCACAGTGGCTGGGTCTTCTTGTTTCATCAATTAAGACTGCCCATGGGCCAGTCTGATGGAGGCAGTTCTTTAACAGAGTTGCCCTTTTCCCAGGTAACCGTAGTTTATGTTAAAAATGACAAACCAACACTAAAGAGTTTAGTGGGAAATACTGGTGTCTGAGCCTTCCTTCCAGAAATTCTCCTTGAATTCAGGACCAGAAATTCCCCTTGGAATTCTGCTGTGCGATTAAGTCAGGAATGACTGCTTTGAGCTGCCATTGTTTTCTCCTTTTCTGGATGAAGGGAGGAAGCCTAATTTTCTTCCTGGTTAGGCTTTGAAATTCTTGTGCCAAGGGCTTATAGGCCCAGCGAGGTCAGCTGCTTTGCCTTAGTTCAAAGAGTTGGCCAAGCATATCATTGTTCACGTGGCTGCACCATGGTAAACACTGAAAGGGCAGGCAATTCCAGACAAGTTTGGTTGAGATGTGAACATGTCTAGGCAGGTAATTTATAGCGATAATGATAGTATAATAAAAACAACAGCAATAATAATACCTACTAACCTACTCTCCCCTCACAAAGGCAAAGCAAGCCTCGAGCCGCCAAACTTGAAAGCATCTGACTGCTCATCAACCAAAGTCCTTACTTATTATTGGCACTGTTTTTCCCAATTAAACCTTTGTTTGGAAAGATTGGGATGGTGTGAATTAACCCATTTTTTATCGTTAGGAAAGCTTATTAAATCTGTTTAATTGTTGTCAACAAACCCAAAACTCTACCCATATCAGAATGGTCCAGCCAGATTGCTGTGCATAGAATAACGTATGTAAGCAAGCACTACAAAGTGTCCTGTTCAGCATAATGCCCCAGTTGTAGCAGCTATACAGACAGAGTTTAAAGTGATTACATTTTAGGCTGGTGAGATGGGTCAATGCGTTAAAAAAGATCTTTGCTGCCAAGCCTGATGATCCTAGTTAAAACCATGGGACTCACATGTTAGGAGAGAACTGACTCCTACAAATTATCTTCTGACCACACACACACACACACACACTCACAGGCACCTGTATGAGATGGGAGGGGTGGAGAAATAAGATACAAGATAGATGAATTCATAAAAATTGACAACTCCAAGTTGTGAACAGATTAAAAATTGTTTGTTGTGTAAATGTGCATTTTTACATATAATCATTAAGCCACTGAGTCAAGAGTCTACCTTTTAATTCTATCTTCTGTTTTGAATTGGAGTTTGGCTGCAACTTAAAAGTTTTCACTTCAGTATTCTCGTTTTGTGAAGGAAGAGATAATTATTCCTTACCAATGAGCACAGATGTGAGGGTGTATACTATGCATGCAGTGCTTTTATGAAGATCTGAAGGTAAAAAATCATTTTGTGGCCAACTATTACATGTTTATATGTATTTTCATGACAGTTATAGTATCATTGTGTATTTAATGAATTTGTTTTCATTTATGTGTATGTCTGTGTCTGTGTGACTGTATGCCGTGTATGCTGGTGCTCTTGGTGGTCAGACAATGTCATTGGACCACAGGGGTCTGGAGTTATGGTCATTGTGGGCTGCAAGATGTGGGTGCTGGGAACTGAACTGGGATCCTCTGTAGGAGCCATCGCTGCAGCTCCTCATCTTGAGTTTTCATGTTGAGCTTTTCTGAGTCCTCTCATGTACATGAGGCCTTGGAACCCTTTTGCTGAAGTACCGAGCATCCTATGCTTATAATAATGACTGATGATTAAAATTGGAGTAACAAGAGTGATTCAGGGGAAAAATTACATAATGAAAACACATAAATCAAGCCAAGTGCTACCCAAATATTATCTTAATCCTCCCCATTATCTGTTCCTAGATTTGTTTCTTCTTTATTTCCCCTCTTGATGAAATTACTGACTCTAAGTACATAAATACTATCCACGACTTTCCCTCCCCTAAATGTAAAACAAAGCAGAAAAATACAATTACATTTATTATACTGCATTTTCTATTGAAAGTACTAAAGGGATTTCTGTATTTCAATTTTGCCTCATAAGAAGCACCAGTGTCTAAACAGTGATCCTGATATTGAAGAGAGGAGTTATAAGATGTAAAATAAGATGAGGTGGAGTGATATTTTAAAATCTACTTTTGTTTTTCTTTTGAGACAGGGTCTCTCTGTGTAGCCTTGGCTACCCTGGAACTTGCTGTGTAGATCAGGCTGGCCTCAAATTCACAGAGATCTTCCTACCCCTGCCCTCTGATGGTTGAGATTAAAGGTGTGTTCCACCATGACTACTAGAATCTTCTATTTTTCACATGTTGTTGAAGCAGAATTTTGAGAAACAAAATTTTGGGAAACAAAATTTCTGGAGGATTCCACTA